AGCCGGAATGCACCAATAGCACTACATCGTCTTCTCGAAGTCCGTTGTCGAGGTCGCTCGCAGAGTTTTCGACTACTTGGATCTCCGCGAAGTGGTTTCCGGCGCCGATCGTGCCCAGCGAGCTGTCCCATTGTTCACCTGCAGAGCAACTACCATCCTTGTCTTGTAGCCATAGTTCCCTAAGCTCTTTTGTGCGCCACGGACCCTCGAGTCCACGTAGTTTCTCGGCTACCTTCTTGCCTTTGTCGCCATCAACTTGGCTTCTAGATAGGCTGAGTTGAAACCATGCCATACCACAGCCAATGTCTCCGCCGATAAGTGGTGGGTGTATCCATTTTTTTGAAGCAAAGACAGCACCGATGGGAAACTTTGTACCTGGGTGAAGATCAGGCTGGCCTACTGCATGGATGATTCCGGGAAGGGTGTGAGCAGTAGTAGTGAGTTGCGCCACGGAGAGCGACTCGATCGGTGCATTTGAAGCAAGTACCTCGACCGGGCAGCTTGGGTTTATATCTTCTGCGCACAGTCAGCAATTGTTGCGTTGTGTAACATGCAGGGATCAATGTGCTCAAATATGCTCATAACAGTCTTGTGCACCAAAGAAAGCCACAGATGATAGGCTACTTCACAACCACAACTTGAAATCAAATCCTGGAGACTACAAGACAAGTAAAATTTATTTACTTGCTTGTAGTTTCCAGGCTTGTTGAAGCTGTAGAACGTGAGTCTTTCAGCTTCCGCGCTGAGGACTTATCTGCGAGCATCTTTGACATATAAGAGATAATGCACTTACCATGTATTATCATCTCCTTCTTAACACCCACGAATTCCTCGCCTATAGACACAAGAAGAACGGCATCATTCCTGATGTTGTCCTTCCAGTCTTTCTCATCTATTAGTTCCTGGCCGCTTTGCTTAACGAAGACACGTGTAGGTTTCTTGAGCTTCAGCTTCGACTGCGCAAGTTTGAAGACCAGCGATTGCATAGAGCCTGCAGCTGCAGGGTCTGCAACTGCCGCCGCAGGAATGACTAGTGGAGCCTTTTGCGACTGTTTGGCGTTGTTCGCGACTGTCACGCGAGTTGCCATTGTGAA